TATGTGTGTGTGTGTGTGTGTGTGTGTGTGTGTGTGATCATGTGACACTGAAAATTCAGCTTTGTCATCACAGGAATACATTTAAAACATTTAAAAAATAGAAAACTTTTTTTTTTTTTTTACTTTTGATCCATTTTATGTATGTCCTTGTTGAATAAAAGTATTATTTTCCTTAAAAAACAAAAAACTATAAGTAACAATAAATCAGTTCAGCCAAGACTCAAATTAAATGTAAAAGTGGCAATAAGGGCATTTATAATTCTTAAAAAAAGAAAAACTTCAAATAGGCTCAATGTTTTTTCAAGTTTATTCGTACAGTGCTTTTCACGATATAAATCACTGCAAAGCAACTTTACAGCAAATTAGGTTTCTACAATATTTAGTGGTAGCTTATCTGTGGTGACTGTCAGTTAATGTACATATGGCAGAAATGTACGGAAAAATCAATTAAAGACGTAATCAAACAGACGATGAACACTATTAACAGCAATTATTATATGATGCAATCAAACTTATAGCAAAATGTGGTAGTTCTGTAAGTTGTTTCAGGGTTGGCATCATCTGAGTTCCTCTGAGGGGTTGGCATCATCTCTTCTCAGGTGTTCTGGATCCAGACTGAAGCTTGTGTAAATCCTAGTGTCAAAAACAGAGAAACAAATACAAACATAATTAGCGTAGCTGCTGTTCCAACCAAGCAAAATTGATTTGTTTAACCCAAACTAAAGAATAATAATGTGCATTTGATCAGATATAACTGCAGTAAAAGATTATGAGATGTATTATTTGAATGCTTGGCCAAAGAGGTGTGTCTTTAATCTAGATTTAAACAGAGAGAGTGTGTCTGAACCCCGGACGTTATCAGGAAGGCTATTCCAGAGTTTGGGAGCCAAATGCGAAAAAGCTCTACCTCCTTTAGTGGACTTTGCTATCCTAGGTACTACCAAAAGTCCAGAATTTTGCGACCTTAGGGAGCGTGATGGATTGTAGCGTGGTAGAAGACTAGTTAGGTACGCAGGAGCTAACCCATTAAGGGCCTTATAGGCAAGTAATAATATTTTGTAACTGATACGGATGCTGTTCTTTTAAACGTTCTATTCGTCAAATAATCGTTTTTCTTGAGCATCAAATCAGCATATTAGAATGATTTCTGAAGGACCATGTGACTCTGAAGACTGTAATGATGCTGAAAATTCAGCTTTGCGTCACAGGAATAACATAAAATAATTTTAATAGTATTAACAATATTCATGTTTTATTGTATGTTTAATCAAATAAATGCAGTCTACGTTGTGGATGACTTTAAGATATAAAACATGATTTCCAAAATCTGTGAATGATCAAGAGTATTAATTGTACAACATAAATAAATGGATGCAGTTGCTATAGTGTGAATGGATTTGAATAACAAAAGTGCAAATGAATCCAGTCTGGTGAGGTCTTGAAGGCAGTCTCCAGTTGGCATTTTCAGAGTTCATGGAATGTGTGAGTCAGTGCAAGGGTGTTCCCCAACAAGGGTGTCCCTAGTGAAGCTTTAATCTGATGATGTTTGACAGTGTAGCCTAGTTACAATAGCATTTTCTTCCTCAGTGCTTTATGGTAACTATTTACCATACATTTAATTGCTAACATCAGCATTAGGTTTTAATTTGAACTTCTTTTTTTTAACATCTTGTTCTGTTTCAGTAACACATGGCTAACTTCAGTGTGTGTGCGTGTGTGTGTGTGTGTGTGTGTGTGTGTGTGTGTGTGTGTACTCCCATAGAAACTGGTTTTGATTGCTATAGTAACCGTATGTACTTAACCACAAAGCGTTTAATGATTCAATCATCATAGCTCACAGGGACAAATGTATCTGCTGCTCACCCTTCTGAAAAATATCAATCATCCTTCAACATCACCTATGGTAATATCACTCTAGGAAGTCAACATAAAATAAATGCAAATTCAACTGTGAAGTAAACCCATGGTTTACACTACTGGTCAAAAGTTTGAATAATCTTGTGAAATAATATTGCAATCTAAAATAACTGTTATATATAATATAATAATATAACATAATATGATATCAAATGTAATTTATTCCTCTAAATGATCAATCTGAATGTTCAGAATCGTTGTTCCAGTCTTCAGTCTCACGTGATCCTTTAGAAATGATTATGTTGATTTGCTTCTCAGTGCGTCAACTATTATTGATGCTCAATTATTAATAATTAACAGTTCTTATTATTATCAATTATTTATATTTTTTAATCTTACTTATCCTGAAGTTTTGAACGGTAGTGCTGTCCAGTTTCCACAAAGCAGCACAACTGTTTTCAACAATGGCAATAAGAAATGTTTGTTTGTTTGTTTTTCATATTAGAATCATTTCTGAAGGGTCATGTGACACTGAAGACGAGAGTAATGACTGCTGAAAACTCAGCTTTACCATCACAGCAATAAATTACTTTCAAATATTTTCAAATAAAAAAAACGTTCTTTTAAATTGTAAATATATTTTTACAATATTCCTGTTTTTCCTGTATTTTTGATCAAATAAACGCAGCCTTGGTGAGCAGAAGAGACTTCTTTCAAAAACCTAACTATTCCAAACGTTTGACCTGTGACCATTTCATTGTATACAGCTGTATTTTCTTCCTCTTTTATCAGTGAAACTGAATGACCGCTATAAAATCAACTTCGTTCCCTCAGGAAGTATTTTAAAGGGTCAGAGCTCAACATATTAAAGCAGACTCCAAATGTGATCTCTGTGCTTAGCTGAGAAACACACACCCCACCGATTTTATCCTGGCCTGACAAGACAGATACCTCATTCACTCTTTCCTTATTTATAACAGAACCTGGTCTGTTTTTAATCAGCTTGTCCACAGCCTTTAAGGTTCAAAGTGTAAAGTTCTAGAGTGGCACATGATTGTTTATAGCATGTGCTGTGTTGTAGCCCAATAACTTTACTGCTCAAGCCTCACAAATAGCACAAGTAAACATTTCAACAAGAACACAGCTGTGCAATTTTGCATTATAACAATAAAATATTAAATTGCGCTTTCATTATAAGTACATAAATCTTTATTAGACCACATAAGCAAGTGTTTTGCTTACATTAGTGATGTGTTTTATTGGAAATGACTCGTTAGTGACACCTGCTGTCGGTTCATAGAAACTGTGAGGCCTGTGCGTGTTAAAGAATCCCAATATATTTCACCTGTCAGACATTTATTATCCACTTTCACCACTGCTTCAGTGGTTTGCAATACATTTATCTGCTCTTTTATATCTCTGCTACCGCCTAAAATACCTCCTCCAGTCTCTACGGAGTACTTAACACATCGCTGAGCAATCATGAAACGATACAGCAGTGTTCTGCTTAACTCAGCAGAACAAATGCTGCTTAGACTGGCATATTTCAAGTAGTCTACATTTTGTTCTTTGCGACAAGCCATACTGTAGGTTTTATCATCTAGACAATGCTGTAGGCGTGACAGGCCGGGATAAGACTTTCTGTAGACAACTTGAGCTGGGATAATAAATGTCATGGTCACAAGTCATTGTATTTTTAAAATCTTATAGCTTCAAGTCATCTTAAAATAATGAAATTAGTCGAACATTGCTCTTATCTGTATGCGCTCGTTTTTGTCACACTGCCTGTTCCTCTGCAAAACTCAGCAGAAAGTGATCTTAATTCAAATATAAATTAAACCGAGCTGATGTTAAATATAGAAATTATATAGCAATTAAGGAATAATTCACATATTTCGATAACATCATTATTCTAAAGCGGCAAGTCACGAGATTTTTTTTTTTTTAATAACTGAAGTTATTTTTAAGTAAAAAGTGGATCGTTCAGGACACCGTTATCATTCAAATACCATTTTATTTTACATAGATTTTTCATAATTTTAAAACTCATTTGATTTGATTTTGCATAAAACGTTACATGACCAGAACACCAGGATATGATTTTATTTTCTGTGCTCTGACTTGAAATATTTTCCCACCATACTTAAATAATTACTTAGAAAAACAACAGAAC